TTCGAAACCATGGAGCGCGCGGGGTGTGGCGCGGGGGAACTGCCAGGCCACAGGGCGTTGTCCTTCTGAGCCCCAGGTGCCTGCAAGAGGCCCTGCCCCAGAGAGGCCCCGCCCTGGCCCCAGGTGATTGGGCCCGCCCTGCTATTGGCTTGTAGGCGAAGCCAATCAATCATTCTTTTTCGGGAATTGTGAATAGGGCCGTTGAAAATCTGGCAGTTCCAAATGCCTGCCGTGGCAGACGACCTGATTCCAGATGGCAAAGGACTCTGAGAACAGGCACGAGGCCACTGGAAAACTGCCAGCTGAGGGACAGAATGAAGATGACTGCGAGTCTGCTGAGAAACAGAGGAGGGCTGCCTCCTTTGTGGCGGTTTTCTAGTCCCTGCACCCAAGTGCCTGATTGGATTCTCCGGCGCCACATTCTGTTGAGCCTTGGCTAGGGCAGAGGCCCCACGTCGCCCAGTGAGCGGTCTGGGGGTCCTGGGTGGTCAGGCCTCTCCCATCTTCCACCCGTTTTCCAGCAGGCCTGTCAGCTTGGTCTGAAAAGCCTTCCAAAGTCTTGGAAATAAAGCCGGTAAAGTTTGTCCTTGCCCCGGTTTCTGCCCTGGCCTTCCCTGTACCCAGGGTCATGCATTTCTTCTTCCACCTCCCCTTTCCTCTCAAAACCTTTTCAATAAGCTTTCTCTCTGGTAATCTCATTCACACTGACCATGAGTAGTTAACAAACCACCATTCTAATTTCTGTCGAGTTTGTCTGCACATTAACCAAAAGCCAAAGAGAAATAAGAAACCCCGTCTCCTGGACTTCACACATGCACTCTTACTGAATTCTCTCCACAGCCCTGAAGGGTAAGCATCATAATCCTCATTTCACAGACAAGGGCACTGAGACACCAGGCAGGGTCACAGATGAGAGCGAGAAGAGCCAGGGCTACCTGGAGCAGTGCTGCAGGTGCGTAGCTGTGCCCTCTTCTGTCTAGAGATGGGCTTCCGGTGCCCTGTGAGTACCAGACCCACCTGTAACTCACCCACCTCTGCTCCCAGGCTGCCTCACCTCCCAGCCATTGGATATTCTGTTCTTTCGTTGGCTCTGCCCCCCTGTCATTTCTGTCCCAAGTGCTCAGACTAAAGCTCCTCCTCTAGGAAGCCTTCCCGCCGCTCACTAGTCCCTCCTCCTTCATGGAGGCTCGAGGGCATTTTGTTCCACTGCATTGCACTCATTTCCTTCTTGGATCACCTTTCTGTCTGCCTTCGTATCCTTCCATTCCCCTCTGAGTTCTTTGTGGCAGGAACCACATCTGACTTGCCCCTGGCCCTGCCCTGAACTTAGCATGGAAGGGAGGCTTCAATTTGGTTGCTGAGCTGAGTAACCCCACAGCAGTACCCTGGCACCTCAGTCCCAAACAGGTGACTCCATTACCAGATCCACAGGACTGAGGTTGAGCCAGGTCTGCAGCCCAGAGGACCCTTGAATTCCAAAGCTCAGCCAGAAAGTATGGCTTTTCTTTCTACCTCCTAGCCAACCTCCTACCAATTCTTCAGTTCTGTGACCGGGAAGCCGAGGCCCAAAGAGCCAGCATTGTGCAAGGATCAAGCTCAAAACCCTACTGCCAGACCCATGGTGCAGGGCTTCCAGGCCTTTTGGTGATGCCTCCCTGCCAAGGTCACTTCTGTTCTTCCAGTCATTCACTCGACAGATATTTACCTCACCCTGGGCGAGTGCCCAGCACAGTGCTAAGCTGGGAAGGTGCTGGGCTATGGTAGGGAACAAATAGTCCTTGTCCTTGCCTCTGTGGAGTTTGAAGCCAAGACATGCCGTGCACTTGTGCAGGCCTTACAGGCCTCTAGGCCTCAGAAGACCTTCAGGAGCTTTTGAATGCTTTAGCTGGCAGGGCTCGCTACTCCATCCCTCCACCCCAGCCACCCTCTACCAGGGTGAGAAAGAAAATATGGCTGTCCCCGGGGCCCAGGATCTGGTCCTTGGCTGTCCTGTCCCTCTTCAGCAAGCCACTGCTCAGGCCAGGTCAGGTCTGGCAGTCCCTGGAACGGTGACTCATCTATTGAAGGAGCCAGTGGGCCGGTGGTCTTTTAAGTACAGCTTCAAGCCCCACAGGACACCCCTTTCCACCAGGCAGGCGACTGTCATGCAGCTGATGCTGCAGGAGCTCTTCAGAGGAGCACTGCAGAGTGGAAACCCTCTAGATCGCACAGCTGGGGCAATGAACCATGCCCTTCTCTGGGTCTAGCAGCTGCCATCAGGAGGCCAGGAGCCATTTAGCTGATGTGAGCAAAGCCTGTTACAGATATGAAAATGGGTGAGATTCCTTCATTACAGGTTTCTAGGATCTCAGAGTTAGAAAGAACCTTGGTCATTACCTGTCTGCATCTCGTCTAGAGCAGGACTCCTCTCTCTACTGAGTGCTCTGAAAGGAGGCCCTAAAGAGTTGCATATCTCGGACAGATAGACAGTGCACTACCTCACAAAACAATTCCCTTTCTGTAATCTGTCCTGTGAGTTAAAATCTTTGTAATTTCTGTTCAATGATTCAAGTTCACCTCCTGGGGCCATACAGAAGTGACTCTCAGCAAGGTGACTTCCTCTGGCCTCCGTGCTCTCTTTCTGTTACAGCGCCTGTTACAGTGCTGGAGTTGTTCAGAGGGCACCTGGACCTGCACGGAGCAGCACTGGCAGCTGACAGCAGAGGCAGTGGTGCCTGTCCTTGTCCCTCATCAGAGCCCAAGGGAGCACCCTGTTCGGATGATGGTGGCTGGATGCCAAATGAAGCGAAATATGTCCTTTTCTCAGACTGTGAACTTTTTTCTTGTTTAAGGAAGGGAAGGGTAAGGACATTTATCACTTTACAGTTTGGCAGTAAAATGAGCAGATGGAAATGAATCCCCATCGTCGTGGATGCATTTCCAGGGAGAACCACACTGGCTGATGGGGACGGGGACACAGTGGCTCCCACCTCCCTGGTTCCCCATCCACCCACCCACCACTCCAGGCTGTGCCTTGGCTGTAGCTCAGTGGCACCACACCTGCCTGTGAATTCAATTCCCAGTACTGCAAAAAAAAAAATACTAATAAATTAAT